GACAATATAACATAAAATCTCACAACACCTGTTAAGTCATCATAATGTCTTATCCCTATCGAGTCCGATTAAGTGCAGCAGGGGAAGATCGGAGCCTGTCTTCATATCCCAGGTCGGCCCACCTTCCTAGATTGTTTAGGGAACCAATGGGCCGAAACTGTTGGCGACGAAGGATCTCTACCGATGACCGGTGGACTCCTGCAGTGCATGCTCCCGTGTGGAGTTCTTCTTATTAGGGTAATACACGTCGACTCTGAAAAAATGGTTTATTACGTAACTAAAATAAGTGATGAGAATTTTTTTTTAATGTCTCTTTTGATAGAGTTAGGCAGTCAAAATTGTATTTATTTATAAACAATTTACGTCAAGATGAAAACATGAGCTCATGCAACAACAACATGACGTCTCAGAATAAATATTTAACAAGAAACTCTCTGAACTAATATCATCATTATTAGTTCTTGTTATGCCTGGTGGCACATGAGACTTCAGAGAGGACATTCCATGCTTTCCTGTCCTGTGCAATCTTCAGTGCAGTTTTCCATGTCAAAGATGCCGCACTCAGGTCACTTTCCATCATTCGTCTCCATGTTGTTTTAGGGAGCCCCTTTTTCACTGATTCCAAGAATATGCAGTTGATAGTTCTGCATTTCTTCAATTACTTGGGCGGTTTTGGCTGTTTCAAACATGGTTCTTACATTCCAGAAGCCAATTCTTAATTTGGTTTTGACATCCAGCAGATAAGTTTTCCCATCATGGGCTTCCTTTCGGCTTTCACCCATGTTGTTCATGCTGACAGAGGGACTCTGTCCCAAGACCGCCGGACGGTTAGAGCACTTATTTCCTCTTGAAGTTTCACTAACGTTGTAGATTTTTTACAGGGCAGAGCTGTAAACACTGCGCCCAACCCTCGAGCCTAGAGGACAGGGAGGCCATCTCTGAACTATAACGGCATGCATTTGTAATCGCACTATATTATAGACACTAGAAGTGCAGGACATATGGTGTAAATAGGCCACCTGGCTACATAATGATGTCTTGGATGACTGGCAATGAAATAATGATTTAATTCATACACAACAAGCATGTCGTAGGAGTCAACTAATTTGGTGATTCCTTTGAAGTCGGACTACATCTGTCCGAACAGAAAGGAAAAACCAGTTGCGCACAAATAAGTCTGTAAAACGGAGGTACACGCAAAACTCAGGCCCTGGTACACAGTCAAAGTCTTAAAGGACTAACCACCAGGATTTTCCTCCGGAGCTTACAGAAGGTGAACAAAGAAGAATGACCAAGATACACTACAAATGGTTGCTAATTATTCAATTAATCATAATAAATAAATCGTTCAATCAGAAGGATTGGTAACGGGCCGAAACAATCGTCGACGAGGGATCTTTTTACTGCTGTACATTTTCCCCTTTGGAGTTCTTCTTATTACGACGTTTAAAATTGTCAACATTTTAATACTTACTGTCCTGTTTTTATGTCGTAGCATCCAAAATACCGTATCCCTCTTGTGGGATGCAATTTTTCTTTTTTTAAGACCCCCCCCCCCCCCCTCAATCACTTCGGGCTGTAGACAGGGGCCATAATATAGCCTAACGGCTGAACGAGGTTTCTGGGACCTCTCCACCAGTGATCATCATCCGTATGGCGGCACTTTGTCTCATCGGGTGTTTATTGTTTCGTGTGATGTCCTGGTGTTGTAAAATTTACTTACTGACTCACTGTCTACACTAGAGACTGACATAATCACCCAAGTGCCGATTGGTCTATACAACATAAGTCTAGCCCTCTAGCCCTATATATTTAACACGCCTGAAGGCGTGGGGAAGGTGGGGGGGGGGGGGGAGTCTTTTACTTGACTTTTAAGTCAAAGGGACGCAACTGTTATTTATAAGTGACACACAACATCTGGATATCTTGGTCGCTCCCCTTGAAATTAATTGCTAAAGTTTATCAGCCACAGCGATAAATCTCCAAATACCTCTGTTTAAATTACACTTGTGAAACAGAAAACAAAGTCTGTGAAGCGAGACCACGATGTTCAGGAATCTGAAAACAGCCTAATTGATTAAACAAGATTTAAAAAAATTTAGAAGGACATGAGGGGTGACGCATGCAATAGCAAAGCACAGAACGACTTGCATAAGTTGGTTGAGAGCATAAGCTTCACTGCGGGGTAGGGCAAAATATGTAGTTGCGTATCTTTTGCATGACGTTGCAGTACCAACCCTAGCATTGTTTTTATGCTGTTGTAGTTTCTCTAAGCATGTTTTACGTTCAGTAGCTTGTCATTGATTTCTAAACGGTCAGTTCTCTGTACCACTGTCGAAATCAATATAAGAAATCGTTCACAGCTTGGATCGAACCCGGCACCCGCAACATCAAAGCCACAGACGCTGACCGGAGGGAATTGCCTCGGAAAAGGGGGGGGGGGATACAAGACAGAAGAAAAAGGCATTTACATTTACCCATAAACCTGTATATGATATAGGCCTACATAATATTTACACAAGTAAAAAATATATTATAAAATACACGCGCATGCATTGGTACACATGATACTGATCCAATTACAAAACTACATTGAGATTTATGTGGACCTGCATAAATGAAGAAAATCATATTGTCTATGCACAGTGTATATGGTTACTCTAAAATGAAGGAAACAGATAACAGGCCGCTTTTAGTGCCATCCGTTCGTCTGCAAACGGGATACATGTTTGAGGTAATTACAATGCACTTTCATATAATATTATCTTTTATTATTATTTGGCTTCATTCATTTAAATATTTAAACATATGGCAACAGCCGCGAAGTCGCAGCTGAATTCGATGTGGAAGAGCACAATCAGCATCTCAGTCAAGGTCAATATTTACTGGTGTTGTCTATTTTCTTATACGGGTGTAAGAGTTGGACTCTCACTGTGGAAATGGAAAGGAAGATTAAGGCAACCGAATGCACAAGGTCCGACAATAAAGTAATGATTTTATTATGGCCAAAACACAGACGCCATCTATGAATCAAAGCATGGAATCCAAAGAGGCAACCTTTGTATATGATCTGGCAACTTTTCATCGCCGCACGATAAGCAGACAACAGACAAGCCGCCATTTTGTTAACCTAGGGAGAGGTGCGTTGTTACGTAATCAGCATGGAGCAAACAAGCTAGCATTAAATTCTGTTTGGACTTAGAAAAAGAGCCATTGCGACAGTTGAATTGATGCGACAAGATTATTTGGGACAATTGTTTATCTCGCGCACAGATTTTCATCGGGTATTTACGATTCAAAAGTGGTGTGGAAATAATTACTAATGCAACTAAACCGGGACGCGCAATTTCTGTTCGTAATGATGAACTCATTGCAAAATTCCGAGAACGGATACAAGAAGATTGTTGTTCGACTCTGAGGATGATGATAGAAGAATTTGGTTTAATACAGAGACTTTTCGTATAATTTTAGTGGAAGATTTTGGCCAGAAAAATGTTGCTTGTCAGTTTGTATTCGACACCTGGTCATTTCTTTTTCTTCTTCATGACAATGCAACAAACAGGACTAAGTTATCATACACCTATTCTTCTGGCAGAAGACAGAGAAAGATGGCACGCTTTATGTGCTAGTGCTTCCATCAGTACACCTCCACGACAGTATATTATATTTTATATTTGAATACCCTAACGTAGTCATTTTATAGTCAAATTATTTTCTAGTGTTGTGTCTTGCCTCTCGTAACTGTTATAATTGTGAAAGCTAATCGGAGCAACGCATTTTGTCACGTAAACAAATATCAGTTTAAAAATCATTTAATTTATAATGAGTTTCAAAAGTTGAGCCCTCATACTTTATCAAAACAGATCAGCAGTTGCAAACGTGATCAATTTTAATCCCATACAGGCCCCACCAACATTGCGACGACAGGTATCGAGCCATTTTCTGAATCTGCGATTCACACCACCACGTTGGTCACAGTCGAAAAAACATTCCAAATTAAATCCGCAGCTCACAGTGTCACGCCATGCATTCAACTCAGAAGCTGGGCGACGAAACTATATCCAGTCTACAAATGGAGCAAAAATGCAACGGCCACCTTCCAGCAGAAGCAAAAAAATTTGCCTCGGCTCCAAACAGTGCCCCTGCCTAGCCTCATAGTGTGTGTGTTTGTGTGTGCCTGTGCGCGCGCGCGTGTGTGTGTGTGTGTGTGTGTGTGTGCATAGGCTGCAAATTAGGTAGATGAAATCCAGATGTTTGTTTATATTTAAAAAAAAAATACTTACACGGACATTATTATCAACAGGCTGTATATCAAATTTCAACCACTTACACCAAGCGATGACTGAGTTACATTTTTGTTAAAGCTTGGTAAGACATCTGAAACACACTATAGTTTGTGATACTCATCAAATCCCCACGCGGGTGGTGCAGCTGAGTTCACGTTGGATACTGCAAGAAATGTGTACATTCTAAACATATACCCTTGTAGAGTGCTAATCAAAGTAATATGTATTACTTGTAGTTCTTTTAAAATACAAAAAAATGTGTTTATATACAGTTTCGTCCTTTTAAGGATGACATTTTTTGTTATTTGAAGCCCCACCCTGGCTTTTGCCAGGGGCCGTAATATAAGCAGGCCATAAATATGGCCATAAATATGGCCAATTGTCTGAACGCGGTTTCTGGGACCTCTCCACGGTGATCCTCATCCACATGGTGGCACTTTGTGTCATCGGGTGTTTATCGCTTGTGTGATGTCCTAGTGGGGTAGAAAGTCAGTCAGTCAGTTCTTTTCAAGATACACATTTAGAAATCAGCAAGGCGAACTGAAATGAAAGGACCAAGGGATTTTATAATCAGCACAAGACAAAATTCTAGATGATGATGCTGATAACGAGGAAGTTGGTGATGTTGGTGGCAACAAAGAGTGGTTCATTCTTTCACACCGGAAAAGCTTGAAGAAAAACAACTAAGCTTTTAATTACCCAACTTTGACACCGTTATTCTGCTTTCCTATCCACAACTCTGACTTTGTATTGATGCGGAATAGCTGTTAAGCCAAAAGCAGCCTTGTGTGGATCCAAGGAGGGCAATGGTGCACTTTCATCTGGCAGGAATTTAAATCTCTGGACCATAGATGCTAGAAATAAAAACATTTCCATTTGCGCAATATGGCTGCCCGGACAAGCACGTCTTCCCATAGAAAAAGGAACACATTGTTCGGGACATTTCACTTGTCCATTTTCATCCAGAAATCTCTCAGGTTTAAATACATTTGCATCTTTTCCCCAGATCTTCTTCTCGAATAAGATGGAATCTAGAGAAGGGACTATCTGTGCGCCTTTGGGAATCAAGTATCCACCGATGGTGAAGTTAGCCCTGCTTATACGAGGAAGGTTAAGTGGCACGATGCTGGTACTTCTCTGTGATTCTAGAATGAACGCGTTCAGAAATGGTAACTGGTCCTTATCGGAAACTTTAGGCATACGTTCCACTCCTATTTCTCTGTCGATTTCATTGTAGATTCTGTCCTGTAGCTGGGGATAGTGAAGAAGTATCAAAATAAACCACAGTAGATTTGTAGAAGTGGTTTCCAAACCACCGCCTAGTAAATCGTATACTAACTTTTTCAAATTGTTATCACTCAAGGTTGTAGGTTCTCCAGACGCCTGTTTTTTCTTCCACTCGTAGACGTATCTAGCAATGAAGTTATCTAAATTGCTTTCGTCATATTCGTCGTAGCCTTTCTGTCGAATGAAAGGCACTACAAACTTTGTCATGAAGTATCGAGAGCCTTCTTCTATCACTTTCGCCCCGAAGAGATCTCCTGGCAGGTACGACCAGAATTTGAAGTAATTAGCTAGGTTGCTAGCGCCTCCTTTCAGAATGTTAGCCCTGTACATGTTACAACCGTTGATGAACTCCTCGTCGTCGATGTTAAACTTGTGGCCAAGTGTTATGGCGCAAATGATGTTCACCAGGTTTAAGATCAGTATGTCACTCAGGTCAGTTGGGTTTCCTTTCAGACTGACCAAATTGTCGATGGTCATGGCTACACCTTCCGTGACTCTTTCGGCCAGAATATTTTTGTTGACCATGCCTAGTGTACGCATGATGCTTGACGTAACCAATCGTTGTTCTTTCCAGACAGCACCGCTGCTGAACGCAAGTCCTAGACCTGGGTCTCCGGTCACCTTCATTGGAACAATAAAAAAATATAAGACATTATCCACTGGCAAGATCATATGTAAACATAAGTATGATAGTGTAAGACAAATATTCCATTAAAACGCTATCATGTTTGAATAAAAGCTCCATTATGTAAAGACTCCATGAAATTCAAAGCAGTTCGGTCAGACATCTTGTCCTCTGTATAATTCTTTCATCTAATATTATTCTGAGCGAGTTCATGAACTTCAGGAGCTCGGAACGTCAAGAAGAAGAAGAAGAAGAAGATGAAGAAGATGAAGAAAGGAAGAAGAAGAAGAAGAAGAAGGAAGAAGAAAAGAAGAAGAAGAAGAGAAGAGAAGAAGAAGAAGAAGAAGGAAGAAGAAGAAAGAAAAGAAGAATAAGAAGAAGAAAGAAGAAGAAGAAAGAGAGAAGGAAGAAGAAGAGAGAAGAAGAATAAGAGAGAGAAGAAGAGAAGAAAAAGAAGAAGAAGAAGAAGAGAAATAAGAAGAAGAAGAAGAAGAAGAAGAAAAAGAGAAGAAGATAGAAGAAGAAGAAGAAGAAGAAGAAGAAGAAGAAGAAGAAGAAGAAGAAGAAGAAAAAGAAGAAAGAAGAAGAAGAAGGAAGAAGAAAGGAAGAAGAAGAAGCAGAAGAAAAGGAAGAAGAAGAAGAAGAACATAAGAAGAATATTAGAAGAGGAAGAAGAATAAAAAAAGAAAAAGAAGAAGAAGAAAAGAAGAAGAAGAAGACAGAAAAGAAGAAGAAGAAGAAAAGAGAAGAAAAAAGAAAGAGAAGGAAGAAGATAAGAAGAAGAAGAAGAAGAAGAAGAAGAAGAAGAAGAGAAAAGAAGAAGAAGAAGAAGAAGAGAAGAAGAAGAAGGGAAGAAGAAGAAGAAGAAGGAGTAGAAGAAGAAGAAGGAAGAATGAAGAAGAAGAGAGAAAGAAGAAGAAGAAGAAGAACGAAGAAGAAACGTAAGAAGAAGAAGATAAGAAGAAAGAAAAAGAAGAAGACCAGAAGAAGAATGAAGAAGAAGAAGAAGAGAAGAAGAAGAAGAAGAGAAGAAGAAGCAAGAAGAAGATAAGAAGAATAAGAAAGAAAGAAGAAGAGGAAGAAGAATAAGAAGAAGAAGAAGAGAGAAGAAGAAGAAGAGAAGAAGAAGAAGAAGAAGAAGGAAGGAAGAAGAAGAAGAATAGAAGAGAGGAAGAAGAAGAAGAAGAAGAAGAGAGGAAGGAAGAAGAAGAAGAAGGAAGAAGAATTAGAAGAAGAATAAGAGAGAAGAAAGAAGAAGAAGAGAAGAAGAAGAGGGAGAGGAGAAGATGAAGAAGAAGATAAGAAGAAGAATAGGAAGAAGAAGAAGAAGAAGAAGAAGAAGAAGAAGAAGAGAAGAAGAAGAGAAGAAGGAAGAAGAAAAGAAGAAGGAAGAGAAGAAGAAGAAGAAGAAGAGAGAGAAGAGAAGAAGAAGAAGAAGAAGCAGAAGAAGAAGAATAGGAGAGAAGAAGAAGAAGGAAAAGAAGAAGAAAAGAAGAAGAGGAAGAAGAAGAAGAGTGAATAAAAGAAGAGAAGAAGAAGAAGAAGAAAGAAGAAGGACGAAGAAGAAGAATAAGAATAGAATAAGAAGAAGAAGAAGAAGCAGAAGAAGAAGAAGAAGAATAAAATAATAAGAAGAGAAGAAGAAGAAGAAGAATAAAAGAAGGTGACGAAGAAGAAGAAGAAGAGAAGAAGAATAAGAAGGAGAATAAAGAAGAAGAAGGAATAATAAGAATAAGAAGAAGAAGAAGAAGAAGAAGAAGAAGCAAGAAGAAGAAGAAGAAGATAAGAGAAGAATAGAAGAAGAAGAAGATTAGAGAAGAGGAGAAAGAAGAAGAAAATAGAAGAAGAAGAAGAAGACGAAGAAGAAGAAGAAGAAGAATAAGAAGAAGAAGAAGAAGAAGAAGAGAAGGAAGAAGAAGAAGAAGAAGAAGAGAAGAAGAGCCTGAAGAAGAAGAATTAATAAGAAGAAGACGAAGAGGAAGAAGAAGAGAATAAAGAGGAAGAAGACGAAGAAGAGAAGAAGAATAAAGAAAAATGTAGAAGAAGAAGAAGAAGAAGAAAGAAGAAGAAGAAGAAGAAGAAGAAGATAAAAAGAAGAAGAAGAATAAGAAGAAGGCAGAAGAAGAGAAAGAAGAAGAAGAAGAAGAAGAAGAAAGAAGGAGAAGAAAGAAGAAGAAAGGAGACTAATAGAGCAGAAGAAGAAGAAGAGAGAAGAAGATAGAAGAAGAAGAAGAATAAAATAAGAAGAAAGAAGAAGAAGAAGAAGAAGAAGAAGAAGAAGAAGAAGAAGAAGATAAGAAGAATAGAAGAATAAGAAAAAGAATAAGAAGAAGAATAAGAAGAACGGAAGAAGATAAGAAGAGAGAGACGACGAAGGACGAAGAGAAGAAGAGAAGAAGAAGAATAAGAAGAATAGAAGAAGAAAGAAGAAGAAGAAGAAAGAAGAAGAAGAAGAATAAGAAGAAGAATGAATAAGAAGAAGAAGAAGAAGGAGAAGAAGAGAAGAATACTAAGAAGAAGAAGAAGAAGAGAAGAAGAAGAAGAAGAAAAGAGAGAATAAGAAGAGAGAAAGATAGAAGAAGAAGAGAAGAAGAAGAAGAAGAAGAAGAATAAGAAGAAGAAGAAAAATAAGAAGAAGAAGAAGAAGAGAAATAAAGAAGAAGAAGAAGAGATAGAAGAAGAAGAAGAAGAATAAGTGCGACAGTCAAGAAGAAGAAGAAGAAAGAAGAAGAAGAAGAAGAAGAACGATAAGAAAAGAATAAGAAGAATAAGAAGAAGAAGAAGGAAGAAGAATAAGAAGAAGAAGATAAGAAGAGAAGAGAAGAAGAAGAAAAAAGAAGAATAAGAAGAATAAGTAAGAAGAGAAGAAGAAGAAGAGAAGAATAATAAGAAAAAGAAGAAGGAGAAGAATGTGAAAGAAGAAGCAAGAATAAGAATAAGAAGAAGGAAGAGAAGAACGAAGAAGAAGAAGAAGAAGAAGAAGAAGAAGGACGAAGAGACGAAAATACGAGAGAAGAAGAAGAAGTAGAAGAAGAAGATAAGAAGAGAAGCAGAAGACGAAGAAGAAGGAAGAAGAATCAGAAGAAGAATAAGAAAAGGAAGAAGAAGAAGAAGTACGAAGAAGAAGAAGAAGAAGAAGAAGAATAAGAAAGAAGAAGAAAGAAGAAGACGAATCAGAAGAATAAGAAGAAGAAGAAGAATAATAATAAGAAGAAGAATAAGAAGAAGAAAGCAAGATGAAGAAGAAGAAGAAGAAGAAGGAAAAGAGACGAATAATAAGATGAAGAAGGAAGAAAAGAAGAAGTAAAGAAGAAGAAGAAGAAGAAGAATAGAAGAAGAAAAGAAGAAGAAAGAAGAAGACAGAAGAAGAAGAATAAGAAAGAAGAAGAGGAAGAATAAGTAAGAAAAGTAAGAAGAAGAAGAAGAAGAAGAGAAGGAAAAATAAGAATAAGAAGAAGAAGAAAAGAAGAAGAAGAAGAAGAAGAAGAATAAAAATAAGAAGTAAGAGAAGAAGAAGAAGTTAAGAAGAAGAAGAAGAAAGAATAAAGAAGAAGAAGAAGAAGAAGAAGAATACATAGAAGAAAAGAATAAAGAAGAAGAAGAAGATATACGAAAGAGAAGAAGAATAAATAATAAGGAGAAGAGATAAGAAGAAGAATAAGAAGGAAGAAAGAAGAGAAGAAGAAGAAGAAGAAGAATAAAGCAGACGAAGAACGCAGAAGCAAGAATGAAGAATAAGCAGTGAAGAATAAGAAGAATCAATAAAGAAGAAGAGCAGAAGCAGGAAGAAAGAAGAAGACGACATAAGAAGAAGAAGAAGAAGAGAAGAAAAGAATAAGAAGACGACGAAGAAGAAGGAAGGAAGAGACGAAGAAGAATAATAAGAAGAAAAACAGAAGAAGCAGAAGAAGAAGCAAAGAAGAAGAAGATTATAATGACGAAGAAAATATAAGAATAAGACGACATACGAAGACGACGAAGACCGCAGAGCGCCGCAGAATACGAAGACGACGACGAGACGCCGCCACGACGTATGACGCCGCCGAAGCCGAAGAGAAGAAGAAGACGCAGCAGCAGCCGAAGCAGAGAAGAGCCTACTCTGCCTCCTGAAGAAGAAGAAGAGAAGAAGAATAAGAAGAAGAAGAAGAAGAAGAAGAGAAGAAGAATAAAGAAGAAGAAGAAAGAAGAAGAAATAAGAAGAAGGCCGAAGAAAGCAGAAGCCGCAGAAGAAGCAGAAGAATAATAGGAAGAATAATAAGAAGAAGGAAGAATAAGAAGAAGAAGAAGAAGGAAGAAGAAGAAGAAGAAAAAGAGAAGGAAGAGAAGAAGAAGAAGGAGAAGAAGAAGAAGAAGAAGAAGAAGAAAAAAGAAGGAAGAAAAAAGAAGAAGAATAAGAAGATAAGAAGAAGAAGAAGAGAAGAAGGAAGAAGAAGAAGAAGAGAGAAGAAGAAGAGAAGAAGATAGAAGAAGAAGAAGATAGAAGAAGAAGAAGAAGAAGAAGAAAGATGAAGAAGAAGAAGAAGATGAAAAGAGATGAAGAAGAAGTAAGAAGATGAAGAAGATGAAGAGAAGAGAAGGAAGTAAGAAGATTAAGAGAAGAAGAAGAGAAGAAGAAGAAGAAGAAAGAAGAGAATGAAGAAGAAGAAGAAAAGAAGTAGAAGAAGAAGAAGTAATAGGAAGAAGACGAAGAAGAGAATAGACGAAGGATAATAAGAAGAAGAAGAGAAGAAGAGAAGAAGAAGAAAAGGGTGAAAAGAAGAGAGAAGAAGAAGACGAAGAAGAAAGAAGAAAGAAGAAACGAAAAGAATAAGAAGAAGAAGAGGAAGCAGGAAGAGAAAGCAGGAAGAAGAATATGGAGAATAAGAAGAAGAAGAAGAAGAAGAAGATTATTTTACTGCAATTGTTTACATGAAATGTTAATACTGTAATATAGTCACCTGAGAGTCAGTTCATGTTTTTGTGCGTATTTAGTGGTGGGAATCGCAGCTACCTTCTTTGTTTACTGTATTTTGTCATTTAAAGATGATTCTATATAGTAAATGTTTTACCAATCGTGTTTTATCTCTACAGATACATAATGATCAAAAAAAGGTACACAAGATTGCCTTCCTACTAAGTATTTAATAATCGAATTATAGACGTGATAAAAAAGAAAAGACATTCAAATGCGAATGGAGGAGCAGATAATGTAACAACAACAACGACAATAAACGGCAAAGAGAACATTTCTGAAATTCAAATGACATTACAATTCCTATCAATGAGGGTTTTATGAAATTGGCCTAGGTTACCAAATTTATCAATTCTAAAGATTTTGCCTTTAAATGTCAATAGAAATAATGCCAAAGACCCTTACAGGTCAAGCGTTATACGAAGTCGTGCCTTGACTCTGCAGTTATGAAACTCGCACCAAATACCATGGCGCCGGCACCTGAGGGTTTAAGCACTTAGACACCTCCACCCACGATGAAAGATCATTGGCGAATTAGATGGATATAAAAAGGTGAAAAACGAGTGCTGAAGAGAATGCACCAAATTGTGCATAACATGGATTAGCCAATTTATTATGCTTTTTTAGGGAATAAACCGCAGCATAGAAGACAAATTTTTAAAAAAATTGTTGCGTATCCTTTACAGGACGTTGTAGAACCAACCCCAGCACTTTCTGGCTGTTGTCGTTTTTCTAGGCAAATTTACGTTCAGTAGTTTGCCATTGCTTCTAAAAGGTCGGCTCTCGGTACCACTGTCGAAGCTATCTCAAGACAAATCATGCGCAGCAGAATCGAACCCACAACCTGACATTACGGTGCGCGTTCGCAACGCCTAAGGCGCAGACGCCGACAGAAGACATACAAAGGACAAAATGAGATTTTATAGTTTAACGAATTCAATGGAAATTAAAACCAGTGAGTTAAAAAATTCTTCTACGCCATTCGGCGTACTGGGTATATAGGGCTAGAATTATATTGTATAGAATATTCAGCACGCGTTGGGTAATGTGGTCAACACCACACCAGCCGTCTTTACTTCCCAGGAATGTATCTGGTACCTATTTAAGGCTGGCTCTACCTGGAGGTCAAAGTCATTGAAACTAGTACTTAACTAAAAGTATTTAACTCTAATGACATGTCATTACAGATGTATGGAGCTGAAGTTCGGAGAACAACTGGAATAATTACTCGTTAATCACAAATAGTCAATAATCTGGCCCTACGCATTAAATAAGAAATAAAATGCAATGACAGAGTCAATAATTTAAAGCTTGGGGATAAAACTAAACAACTTCTGTTTAATCAAGAGGTGAGAAAAGGACGCTGGCTTTGCATAATACACACGTTAAAAAAACCATTTAACTAAAACGTATTACCACTGAAACCGATAAGTACATGGAGAAAACAGACCACAGATCACGAGGAAACGAGAGTTAGAAAGCGAGGTTAAAAACGTAACCCTTTCTACACTGGGGGTAAAAGGTGAAAAAAAAAAGAAGAAGAACGACCCATAATTGAAACCAGTTCAGTCGCCCACTGTATCAAAACTTACCGCATCGAAGAACACTTCTGGTCGATCAATGGTCACGTCGCCATGTTTCACCAGGGTTTCTTTGACCAAATCAAATCCATTGACAACCACCGTCAGGTGTTGGCCCATGTATATGCTGCCAGATACACGGACAACAATGTTCCTTTATCGTTTAGGAATCATGTAATTCACAACATAAATCATGACACACACACTGGCAAAGCACCATATACTTTTAAAAGCCTGAACAATACAAAGTCTGGAGCTAACTGTATAGTTTTAAAACCAAATTGCATATTTTCACTTCTAATGTTACTTCAGTTTCAACATTTGCCTGTGAACGTTAGAGAACCACTAAACACATGGAAGGATAATTAAATGCATTAGAAAACAGATGGTTGCAAAAACTGATGACTATTAAAGGGGAGGAATTCAAGATGAGTGAAGATAAAGAGAAATGTCAAGGCAACCCCCAACAGTTATAAAACAACCAAAGTGGAGTTATATCTGGCACGTCCTGAGTTTCAGCTAGCAGATAATCAACAAGCAGACAATGAAAAATGGAAGCAAATGGATTGCAGAACCAAGGACGTCCAAAACAACTCATCTAATGAATGCCGATGAGAGAGTTCAAGCTGCTGGATTCGACTCCATCCATGACGATAAATTTAATGCTGATAATGGTGGTGGTGATTATATATAGTGTTGTTTGTCATAGTGGAGTTGACTATGAGGACTTTAGTGTTGTGCCTCTCGGGTGTCTTGTGTGGTGGATTTGTTCATCTTTTTGTTTTACAGGTAACCTACATCATTTATCCATCTCTGTCTTGCTCTTTCACTCGCCTTTCCACCAGATGTTATGCTGTAAAAAGTCTCGTATTCAGTCTGGTCTGCATTCTCACTATATGGCTGAATCATTTCACTTTGTCGGTATAATACAGACATGGTCGTATTCCAACTTTCTCTCTAATGCTAGTATTCATAATCCTGTTTCTTCTTGTTCTTTTATTGACCTTACTGAGACAGCGCCTTTCACATGTGGCTTTTGTCTATTCGAGTTCGCTATTGGTTATTCATGTTTCGCACTGACGTCATAGGGTAGGACAAAGATACTAGTAATCATTTGCTGTTTTGCTGCAAGGGAGACAATTGTGTGTCTGAGCAGTGAGGCTAACTGACATGTGACAGCATCTGTGCTCTGTACTCTGATTTCTATATCTCCGCAGAGTCTGCCATCCTCCGTAAATAAGCTTCCTAGATAGAATCCCTGACTATGATAACAAAAGTGACTTAATTTTGGTATTCATGTTGCTGACATGAGGAAGACAACGAAATAACATTCTCGACAGTCTTGTTGCATGGCATGGGAGTGTCTAAGCACACGAACTGATACTTGCTGCAGGAAATCGCGGATTGTGTAGAGGTACGATCACCCACGCCAGTCGGCAAGATGAAGATGATGATAAATATAATGATGTTGCTCACAATAATGATGATAATAATGATGCTAACTACAACCACAATGACAATCAGTAGTGCTTGCAGCATGTGATACTCTACCTATAGATGTCCCCACACTTCTTACGCCACTTCTTGAACTGCGGCCGAGGATTCTTGTCCATGTACAGCAAATGGCCAAACAGCGGCAGAGGCCTTACAGGACATGGCGGATATCTGGAGTCGTGGCGTTGAAACCATAGAAAAATTGCCAAGACTACCAGAAATCCTAATACAAGCGTGACAATCTCCATTTTCTTTTACTGTGGACATATTTTTTATTGTGGTTAGAATCTGGTACTGGTAAAATTGAAAGTATTTATTAAAGGTATGTAGAAAAATGATGGGGACAATGATACATTGCGCTGAGATTCTTTAGACTCAGGCTTGAGTTCGAAGTAGAACGGAGCACTTATATGTTACACCCGTGTGCCATGACGTTGATCCGTTACAAAAACATAAACATAGTGGACATTGATGCTAAAGACGGTCACAGGGATAATCAATAGAGCTGGCAGTAAGGGATAATCTGCCTGTAGATATCCCCACGCTTCGAACGTCAGTCCCTATTTCCTATTGCTGTGGACAATGTTTGTTCTTAAACTACAAAGCCTGTTAAATGAATTACTGCAAGGGCAGAATATTTACATCTTCTTCTCCTCTTTTTTCTTTTCAGTGTTCATAGGTTGTAAATTCCTGCGAAAATGTTTGGTTGTTTGTCCACTTCTAAATTCTGATTTTGGTCCTGAACTCACTTTTTTTTGCATATCCGTTTTACATGCGTGGCCTATTTGTACACAGACTGTTTGTTCCCTGCCGCTCAGACAGATGCACTTCGACTCTGAAGAAAGAATCTCTAATAAGTCAATGTTTTAACGACATGTCTATTAAGAGGGGGTATGTCTACCCCACCCTCTCGTTTTTCCCCCTTAAAATTGGACCTCTACAAAACACAGAGAGAGAATTACATTATAAATACATATAAACAGCATTTAGGTGTCTCGGCACGTGGATAACATCAGATTGCTGAGATGAAAAACATTATAGGACAGGCAAAAACTGCATTTTTAAAAATAAAGAACATCTTATGCACTATCTCTGTCACTGACAGTTAGAAAAAGAATTATTGCTTGCTACGTACATCCAATTTTAACAAATGAGTCCTGGACAGTCGGTAGGCAGGCCAAATAATTTCTTGAGGCCTCAGAGATGTGGTTCTACAGAAGAATGCTTAAAATATCTTAGAAAGCCAAAAAGAGCAACCAAGAGGTTTTGAAAAAGGCGGAAGCCCAGAGACAACTTATCACAGACATTAAAAAAAGACAGTCTGGATTTTTCAGACATGTTATGAGACGAGGGAAAAAAGAACATGTTGTGACCATTGAAAATAATCTGTGGAAGAAGGGATAGAGGAAGACAACGAGAGAAGATTCTTGACAGTCTTGTTGCATGGCATAAAGTTTTGTCAGCACACGAACTGATACATGCTGCAGGAGATCGCGGATTGTATAGAGGCATGTTTACGGCAGGATACCTACTAATGATGATGTTGATAAACAGTATACTAAGAACACCTCCTAACAGCTCAATCAGGTACTGTCTCCTCATTGAAGGTTAGCGTCAATGGATCTCTATTACTCTGTATATCGTCTTAAATGTACTCTCTCAGTCTGCATTTCGTTCATCTCTTGGTGTCATCCCCCCACTTGTGTCGCTGTCTGTATCTTGCTCACTGTTTTTTAAACGTAGGGGCTGCTTGGTCTTGAGGCATGGTGTCCGCCTCGAGAGCTAGAGGTTCTGGGTTCAGTCCCCGCTGAGGATTTGGACTTCTAATATTCCCCCTGGTTTCTGTATAGTGGCATCGGACGCCCGTGTGCATTGTTGCGCACGTAATAAAATCCCTTTGCAGGTTGGAAATAGAAAATAGTAAGCTAACGGCACTGCCCGGGCAAAAATTTCAAGTTAAAAATTTATCCAAAGTATTTCAGAATCCTTGCCTGTGCTACAGAGCCCGTGCACTGTGCTGAGCTTCTTCGTATTCAGACTTGAGTTAAAATAAAAACGGAGCACTTTTACTACCCGTGTGCCATGATTTTGATCCGTTGTTCAAAACCTCAAATCTAAAGTCTTTCAACTTTTCCCTAAGGTAAAGTTTTTGTAAGTGGTGTGTCTAAATATGGCTGAAATGTTTTATTTGTCTCCCTCTCTCTCTCTCTCTCTCTCTCTCTCTCTCTCTCTCTCTCTCTCTCTCTCTCTCTCTCTCTCTTTCTCTCTCTCTCTCTTTTATTTTTATTTATTACCTTCAGCAACTCTCTTTTCATTCCTGGTATTTTTATAACAGCTGTTTTGGATTATTTTTTTGTCATATTAAATACAAGATTTCCATCTGTACATCCGCATCTTCAAAGACTGAATAAGATTTTCTAGTTGTCTGTTGATTGCCCATGTTTCGGCACCATGCAGTTGGACTGAATATGCCTAACATATGACAGTGCTCATTTTAGTGCTCATTTTAACCCTCTAAAAATATTGTGGTAGTACCTGGTATTTTTCAGTTTTCCTCTCTCTCTCTCTCTCTCACACACACACACACACTCTCTCTCTCTCTCTCTCTCTCTCTCTCTCTCTCTCTCTCTCTCTCTCTGATTCACGTTTGTGATCATCTGATAGTGAAGAATTTTAAAGAATTCAGTGAAGTTTAAGTTAATCGGGAAATCATCATAGCAAATTCAGGTCATACTTTCTCAGATCCCTCCACACTATAATCCATTGGCAAGTTACGACGCAATTTCTCTGTTGGCCTCCTACAAATGATGGGACTGTAGTAAAATCACACAAGTCTAAACTAGATCTAAATAATATGCAAATGATAGGAGAGAGAACAAATTGAATATGGTAATAATAAAATACAGTATATATTAGTTTTACAGAACCATTCACAATAAACAAACAGGATGTGTAGCGGCTAAAAATCTGCTTAAACAGGGAGCACTGCACAAATTGCGTATGAATAAAAGCAAATTGAAGTCAACAACACTATAGAACTTTCTTTTCCCGCCAAAACTAACTAATGACGGAATTAGTACACGTTCACCTGATACTGTTTGGCCTTGGCCTTCCTTCTAGAAGTTTCTAAAATTCGTTTTTCCATTTTGTGACCTAAACTAAACTTGCCGTACTGGTAAATACCGCATTGACGAAAATATTCAGTTTTATTGGGTTACTGTATTTTTGATGCGCAGTCGCCAGTATTCCCGACAATCTATATAAAGATAGCCCCTGGTTGGGCACACTCAGACTTGGGCATGCTTAAACTTAGGCAAACTTAGAGGGTAGAAGGGCGAGGCAGGGTGTCTAGAAATACTCGTGTAATTTTAGAAAGCCAGTGGGAGCACAAAAGCAGGGTGACAGAATGGTCATTTAGAAACGTTTCCTTCTTAGTTTTTCACCGGGCATATTGTTTATATATTAGGGAAATAAAACTTTGCCTTGATTGCCTTTGTAATTTTTTATTTTAAAGTTACAGTTTTTAATGTCATAAATTGAAAAAAATTGATATTACCATTTAGGACAAACTGTTATGATTCACCTAAAGTTGTATGTAAGGTGGCATGATGGTCTTTATGATATGATAGTTGTAATCAGGGATTAGAGTGGAGCGGAAGTGTTCCCACAGCGGGACGTTAATCTGGAAATAGAAATAGCGGAACAGCCAGGTGACGAAGAAGAAGAGTCTGGCGTGGAGTTAGAAGAGGAGGTGGGTAAAGAAGAGGGAGAAGGGGTGGAACAGTGACATGCCACAGCGCAGCAAATTGTCGCATTACGAAGACTCTGCTTTACTGCACCAGTTGTTGATTTTCTATCAGCTGTACGTGAATTGGGAGTCGCAACAACACAACAGCTAGACTTTCGTTTGCCAGCTCGAATATAAGGTTCAAAACCGCGTCCATGTATTATTTTCACAGCTGACCTTGGCTCACAGGGAGTCGCAGTGGCCGAGCGGATAGACGCTCGTCTCGGATCAGAAGGTCGTGGGTTCACTCCCTGGCGGAGCCGGACTTTTTTCAAAAATGACCCTGGCTCCCAGGTCGACCCAGCCTTGAGTGGGTACCGGGTGCAGTCCCGGGAAAGTAAAGGCGACCGACGTGATGCTGACCACATCACCCATTTTGTGCCGATTGGTCTATAAAAATATAGGTCTAGTCCTATTTGCCCTATACCCTTAATTGCGTGTAAAAGGGTCCTTTACTTACTTTTACTTTGCTCACAGACCGGCGCAACTGAAAATAAATGGCGGCTGGCGTTATGTTGATCATATCACCTAACAAGTACCGATCAGTAGAGCCAAAAAAATGCCTAGTGCGCAATTGGCGTAAAGAGCTTTATTTACTTGACTACTTTTGCGTGTGTGTGCGCGCGCGTGTGTGTGTGTTTGTGTGTGAACTAATGTTATCTGGGATCTGGATATCGTAAAAAAACAAAAACATCCTTCTCAGTTTTTGCCAGCTCCTAGAAAGAGCAGCGGCTTTATCCTCACTTCGTTCATTTGCTGCGTGTGGTAACGCTTTGTGTGGTCGCATTCCTTCAAGCACGTCGTTATTTCCGGTATCAGGGCATCCACAAGGTACTCCACCTCAAACCAAACTGTAGCTGTCACTGAGCCACCCAAAACAAGGCCGTTTTCAGGGTCCCATATTTAACATTTTTTTTTTTTTTACCATACATGCGTGGGCTGATAGTGCCTTTTTGTTCCAAACTGATAGTGCCTTTTTGTTCCAAACTGATAGTGTATTTTTGTTTTAAATTTTTTAAAGCAGGTTTTCTTCCTGCCAATGTCTGAACTCTGACTGACTGACTTTCTACCCCACCAAGGACATCACACAAGCGATAAACACCCGATGACACAATGTGCCACCATGTGGGTGAGGATCACCGTGGAGAGGTCCCAGAAACCGCGTTCAGCCTTTGGGCTATATTTATAGCCAGGCTATATTGCGGCCCCTGGCAAAGCCATTGTGGGGCTTCAAATAATGAAAAATCTCGTCCTATAAAGGACGTAAGGACGATAATCATGTGTCAAATATGCAATAAGAGGATTTTTATAGTTGCCGTCGGCGTCTGTGTAAAGACAATCCACGTCTGTGGCTTAGGCGTTGTGTACGTGCTTCGCAATCCTAAAGTCCTGGGTTGAGTCCTCAGCTGCAGGCGATCTGGCAGCAGATCGTCTTGCGTTGGTTTTAACAGCTGTACCAGTGAG